GTCTAGTACACCTATGATGCACAAAGATTTCTTGATAATGTGAAATTTACAAACCTATTCTTTATCAACAATTGTTGAACTGTGTTTGAAACTAAGTTAAAAAATTCTCTTCTTCCCAACTAGTTTAAGATAGATATTTATTCTACTGTTTCAGGAAGACATGATTTTCCTTAAAAAACTAAATGTATTGACATCAATTACTATCTCAAGAAAAGGATATCTAGGTTTTTAAAAGACTGCAACAAAATATGCTGAAAATCATTTAAATAAAAGAAATGTATATGTGGTATAAAAATGAAAATCACTGAGTATAATGTATATTCTCTGGTGGCATAGTGCCTAGGCATTTGACTGCTAACCAAAAGGCTAGTGGTTCAAACCCACCAGGCACTCCTTCAAAGGAAGACTGGGCAATCTACATCTGTACAGATACTGCCTGGGAAACCCAAAGAGGGGTCACTATGAGTTGGAAATGACTCAATAGCAGTGAGGTTTTTTTTTTTTTTTTTAATAATGCATATTGGCCCATCCTGTGGCAGAATAATAAACTATAAACAAATAAACTTAGACATCTGTTAGACATATAAGTAGATTCAAAGCAGCATTATTGCCTATGAGATTCAAGAGTCTATACTGCTAACCTGTATTTTAAATAGTTTTATTTAATAAGAAAAAGTAGACTTATTTTAAAGATTCCCTTCAAACAAGATCTCTTATGCACTAAAGTTCAAGTTTCCAGACTTTCATTCAAAGTTGTTTACCAATGTTTAGCTATAAACTCAGCTGTGAAGACACACGTGAGCTAAAAAGGATATCTCTGAAGAGCTAAACATATTTAGTTTTGCTGATCAACAACAAAAATAATAATCCTGAAGTAGGATCCAGAGAACAAAAATTTTAATGATTGCTAAAGATACAAGTGTATATTTTTTTGGAAAGATTTTATGTTAACACCTGAGAATTTTTAAAAGCCAGCTGATGTTCTTAATTCTGTATCATTATTTTTAATGATTCTATATCTGTTTTAAGGAGCTCTGGTAGTGTAGTGCCTCAGGCACTTGACTGCTAACCGGAAGGCTGGTGGTTCAACCCACCTGACACTCCTTGGAAGGAAGGTTGGGCAATCTACTTCCGTAGTGATACTGCCTTAGAAACCCAAGGAGGGGTCGCTATGAGTCAGGGCCAACTTGACAGCACATAACAATAACAACAATCTCTGTTTTGGAAAAATAGACCAAACACATTTTTTTTCTCTTGTAGCTCATAAAATTAAGGCGTACAAACAGAGAAAAATTAACTAATGGCTATGTCAGGCATTAATGTAAAAGCAGTTATCAAACAGCAAGTTCAAGGACATAAAACTCAAACAAGCATTGTTATCCAGGATCTCCAATGCAGACTTTGAACAGACCAGATTTCTTTGCGTATTTTCACATTTACAGAACACAATTACTGTGCGCAGTTTTTAGAGGTTCACTGTTGATTCTCTAAAGGTTTCTTTATCATTTAATATTATAAATAATTATGTTCCTAGGCTGCAGTTCAAAGCTCAGCACAGAACTCTTACAACACCACAGGCAGGTCAGGTGACCTTTCCCCAATTCTCCTCTCTCTGGTGCTGAGGACAGACAAAGTGATATGTCTGTCATACGCCATTACCATTAGAACAGAATCTTGTTCTTTTATTACAACTGAACTCCGCCAGATTTCTCAGCAGGAATGCTAAGTGAAATCAATGTCTTGGATTTCCAGGCTGAGCTTGGAGGTCACAGCCACTCTATCATTTCTCAGCATTATCCTTTCTCTCGTGCGCACACACTCCCCAAGCCTCCAACTGGCACACAGCAGATTGAAAACAGCATGCATCAGAAGACTCATGCTGTACAATTTTACAGTCTTTTGGAGCCCCCTCCTTTTGATTCCCCCCTTCCATTTTTTTTGCAAATTGCAAATAAGTTTTGTTTGTGTCCTTCTCTGGAGTTGTGAGTCAAAGGCAAAGGAACACCTACGAAGAAGGGCAAGCAATAAAATTCAGAGAACAAGGTTGCTCTTTGACAGTTGCCAATAAGATTGTTATCCTTATACCAGTGCTTGCATGTGATATACAATTCCATTGTTGCAAACAACAAATGTACTTTCAACATAAACCATCAATTTGGTTTATACCAGGTGGGTATATAGACAAGACAAAGATCTTTAATAATATATTTCTATTTTATAGTAAGATAGACATATAAATTCACCAATAAAACACATAGAAAATAACCCCAAGACACTAATAACTGATTGTTTAAAAGCATAAATATGATAATAAATGATAGTTATTATACATGGGTAAAATAGCTCTGTGGAGTCAAAATGTTTATTATGCTATGTATAATGTCATTTCTAGGCTACAAGGAACTAAATTCATGTAATGCAACAAAGCCTCTTTATTGACTGTTGGTTGCATTTTTGGGGCATTTTCTTTATTAAAATGACAATGGTAGTATTTTTTGCGTGGCTACTTTAATCCACTAAATTAAGAAATATTTTCTGACAATAAGTAGTTGTAGATAGTATACTAGAGGATATGGAGCAAAGAAAGGTCATAGCTTTACTAAATCATTGTTACTTAAAAACAAGCACTTTTTTGGGGGGTCACATTTTTTGCATATTTTACAATAATTGTAGATGTGAAGAAATGCCAGATCCACAGTGTTCTTAAAATGTATATGATAGAAAATCCATGAAAGGCTAATTTGAAAAGAAATTGAACTTTAAAGATAAACTGTAAAATATTTTTAATTGTGTAAATCAGAGCTTTAGAAACAATCTATTTTTCACTAGTAATAAGTAAATGGAGGTATATTAGATCATATAATGTGGCAAAATTTTAACATTACTAAATTGATCGGTCTATAGGGCTTTATGAATATCTAGATACACAGCTTATAAAGCAGTTTCCTAATCTTGACAAAGCATACCTTCACTCACTTTTGTGTTTGACACGATTACCTAAGAAAGTAGTTTTGTAGCAACTATTCAATAAAGATTTGAATGGATGAGCAAATGATTAGATCAATAAAAGTGTTAGGTTGATTGATATTATAAAAAAAGTAATTAAAACAAAGAAAACTTCATGAATATTTTCACAAGTGATTTGGTGAGAAGGTATTAAAGAGAAAAATATCCATTGCTCATTTAGAAGACACTATATCCAACAACCATAAAAGAAAATATCCTAATGTAAAGCATCATTATAAAACATGATATAAAATCATATTAATAAATCAAGGAAAAACAGAATAATACTTCATATAAGTGTTTGTGTATAACAGTGACTGTGCTACTTCAGCTATTTGTTTTATTCAAAGTTATCCTGTACATATAATACATTAATTTTTCAGGTCCATAGGAAAACCAAAATATCTCTGCTTGAAAGTTAAAATGTATTTAAAGAAAGTTATAATTATTACCAAGTTCTAAAAGGTACACACTTTGTGACTATAAAGGAAAACAGATCAGGACATAGGTGTACATAAAGCATAGAACATGCAACATCCACTAAAAAGCTGAAACAAATCTTAAAATTGATGCATGTATATTCCCTAATGTCATAGTAGTGTGTACGATTTGCTTTTGTGCTATATATTTATATATATTTTTGGTGAATCATGGCTTTACCCTAAGGTCCTTGAATATATTTTATTTCTTCCTTCATTATTAAACTAGGTTATGTTAAAATCCCAAATGCATTTATATCTTAGTGTCATGGAAAAGAACTTAGGCATTCTGAAGAGATGGAGGCTGGAATACATATTCCCAACTGACCCCTTTTCTTTCTCAATTCCCCCTCTGGAGTAATTAAGTCACTCTGAAAAGCATGCTGGTAGAGTCTCCAGGATACTGGAGAAGGATAAGACAAACTTGGAATTTTACTTTTCAGTATTTTCTAATCTTTTATTTTGTATTGTTTTTCAACTTTTGGGATGATTATTCCTATTGTCTCTTACTCTTCAGACACTTCAACATGGATTTATGAAATGAAGAGAAGAAGCAATCTTCTAGGTAATTCAGCAGACAAAGTATTGTTAATTTTGGGGGAAATTAAATGTGTCAGTTTGCTGCTAAACATTTTCTACTAGATATAGCCAGAAAATACATGTAGTTAATTCTCTGAGTTACTTCAGGGACTACCACTTTATGATCACTCTTCCTCTTTCATAGAAAATTTAATATGTTCATAGAACATCATTTAAGATCTTAACAAATGCACAAGAACATGTCAAATCAATCACTTTGCTTCTCTCTCCTTCTAAGCCAAGGGGCACATATTTTTTGACTCCTCCTGAACCTCTTCCATGTTCTATCTGAAAATGTTTCCTTGGCTCAAGAAACAAACCTATTTCTAAATAGTCTTACCTCCAAGCTATGATTATCTTCACATCTCTATATGATAATGGCATTATATGGATGACTTTAACCAATATTATACTTACACTGTACCACATTATAACAATTATTAATATTTAAATAAAATATTTTCCATATGCTCTACTCATACTCATCCTTTAAGGTCTACTTCAGTTGCCCCATCTTCAGGGCACCTTCCCAGGAACGCTCACTGAAGGTATTCTTTTGTTCCCAATAACTTCAAAAGCACTTTATCTATATAAAAGTTATGATTTTGTATCATATAGTATGGTTATCTGGCTTTTTAAAATAATAAATATCTACTCTATAAATCTCTACTCTTAAGTTACTTGTACAACACAGGACATCCAACTGGATAAATCTTTGTACCACTCACACATCCTACTATAGCTATCAATACACGTTTGTTGAATAAACATATGTGCGTAAATTTATATGCATATCTTGTTGTGCCTAATTGACTCTTACCTCTCTGCAGACAGAGAATTTAGTCCAGTTACTGGCACAAAATAGATATTCAATAAACAGCAATGAGTGAAAAGAAATTCTAAACGGCGAAAATTGTAGGTTCCTCACAAGAGTACCTTGCTTTTGGGTGGTGGGCTGTTTGTGCTCTTTTCTGTGTGAATGCTGGTAGGGGATACAGCAGCACCGAGGTTGCCCTGGGGTATGCCTGGAAGCTTTCCTCCTGGAGAAACCTGCATTGCAGCTAGCTGGGCAGCATATAACTGCTACAGAAGAAAGAGAGAGAAGAAACCATTTTTAAAAAGTTATTAACAATAAAATAAATGCACCTCTCAGAAAGTACCCATATTCAGACGTGGTATTTTTCCTACGGGTATTTTTGTTTAGTGCTCTGAAATATTTTAAGGAAGAAACTGTCACCTCAACTTTCACGGCTTACTTCTCAGGGGAGAAATGACAGATACCATATATGTGGAATCTCAGTTTCAGTTCAGGGAATAAAAACAAATAACAGTCATTCATATTTACTAACTCCAAATGTCTATCAAAGGCAAATGGGAGCTCTGGTAGCATAGTGCCTAAGGCACTTGACTGCTAACCAGAAAGCCTTGTGGTTCAAACCCACTAGCCACTTCTTGGAAGGAAGATGGGGCAATCTACTTCCATAGTAATACTGCCTCGGAAACCCAGTGACACATAACAACAAGAACAACATCAAAGGCAAATAGATTATATTAGACTGCTTTAAATTTCACACAGTGTGTTACAAAAGAATATACACAGTAATTTTCTTACCCTCCATATTAGTTCAAGACCTGTATACCTCTTTTCTCTGTCTTGTTGAAATGGACACCTGTGACTTTCTTTCTTTCTTTTTTTCCTGAGAATTAGTTGTGTAGAAATACAGAAAGGCTTTGACAGGGAATGGAAGGAGAGTATTTGAGCAACTTTATCTGGTCAGTCTACCTACATTGATTAAAAATTAACTGGATGCTTGCCAGAAGTCCACTTTACTTCATGATATATAAACACAGTCAAATCTGAAATTATCTTGAGGATTACAGTTTTAAAGAATACTGTCTAAAACACATATTCTTCCACTAAGCCACACATAATAATTCCTATTAAGTAACCAATAAAAAATCTTCAACAATTCAAGTTAATAATAAATTTAAAGGAACATTTTTCTTTGATAAAGATAATTACATGATGTGGAACACTAAAGCAAGGAGGTTGCTATAGATTCAAATAATAACACCAAATATTTAGATTAAATATTCTTTTCATCTCCATTTAGTACTTGGAAAAAACAAAAAATTCTGGATGGAAAAGCAATTATTAGATTTCATATATAATTATACAACTCAAGTTCCTATTTCCCATTTGTCTTGAAATTCCATGGATAGTTTTACTATGCCAGGTAGAAATTCTGTCACTAAAAGATTAATGCTAAAGGAAAAAAAGGAGTATTGTGAGATAGTCTCTGGATTACACTGATATTTCTCTCAAAGGAAAAATCTAAGGGATAAAAATATCTCAGGATAAGCCAGAGAACCTGGTAAGAATAGCCACTCACTATAAATGAAATTATAAAGCTGAAGACTGTTGTTGTTGTTGTTGTTATGTGCCGTCGAGTCAGCCCTGACTCATAGCGACCCCTCCTTGGGTTTCCGAGGCAGTATCACTACGGAAGTAGGATTG